CTGAGTAGTGAGTTCGACATTCAATGGATGTTCTATACTTTCGGCCTTCTGCCACATTTAAGCTACATTTAGAAAATCATTAGGGCATTTTGGCATGGTTTAATAATCAGCAAATTGTCTCGCTAAATGAATTACCGTTGAATAGTAAGTTCGATCCTCACTGGGTGCCCCAGGCTTAGAAATCACATTATACATGAGTATTTGACATTCTCTTGTCATCTAAAAAACAAAAAAATACTACTTATGAAAAGATGCGCTTCACGTCAGGTTTCTGATATAATTATACCCCTTCTTTTATATCTCAAGTTTATTCATAACATGGCCGGTAATTGTCATAATGCCTCCCCACTTTCTTATTTTAAGTAATATTTGACCTTTAACAATCTCTCTGTGCTCTTCTGCCATAGAGTCACTAAAAATAGTTAACTAGTAGATAAACAAATAAAACTATGATGACTCCTACATCAGCTAGGTGAAGAAAAAAAAAACGGGAAGAAAACGATGAATATGAATTGTAAGATAGAATGCAAAATTGTCAGTAAAGGTAACAGACCAACGTGCCAATTAAGACATGAAGACTCCAAAATCAAGCAAGTAAAAAAATGTAAATATGTAGCAAGTGTTTTAACAGACAACGGAAACTGCGACACCAAGATCTGAATGTGCATTAGAATGAACGAAAGATGCCTTCCAAATTCTAAGCAAAGTATTAAGAAACACGAACAATTCTTTAGAAAGCAGGAAAATATTACTGATCACTTATGTAATATATGACAGGGAACGTTAGATAATCTCTTTACAGATAAAAAAACCTTGAGGCAACAGAAATGTGGTTTTACAGAATGATGTGTCAACAAAATATCCGACCGACAAATCAGAGACATCAAAATCAAACAATAAAATGAATGTGTCATAACACACGGTAGATAATGTGACATGGAAATCCGAAGAATAGTGAAATAATGTTATGAATAATCAAGAATGGTCTCCCCTTGTTTTGTTACTCTCATCTTTGAGAAAGCTATTTCTGTTCACTGGGACTGTAAAAGGACACTATACATAAACCTTGTATTCTCAGATGAATAAAGCTTTCTTAAAGCTTACACCTGTGTACTTTTGTCATTACAAATATATCTTTTAAAAGATAAACGAAATGTTAAGAAAGAAGAATATTTTGTTAGAATCAAAGAAAACGGAAGAACTGTTCCATAATATACACCCTTCTGTATAGAATCAAATACAGGACAGTTCCTTTACTGAGGAAAAGATGATCTGGTGCAGCAAATGTAGTTCTATGTAAAAATACTGTGAGTAAGATGGTTGGAGCGTTTGAGAAGCTAACAGGAAGTTTTAAGGAAAATATGAAGAAAAAGGATATTTACAATTAGTATCTGAAAGTATATTTACACTTAATGGAATGAAACGAAACCGATTGGAATACGAATACAGTTCTCCGATTACTCATCCGTGACTTTTATCTATTACACAAATTTTTACTTCATTGAAGAAGGGACGCTAAAATATGATGGTTGGTAATTTAGTAAGATCTGACGAAGTGGGTCGGTCTGAAAAAAATTCAGCACGTCTCGGAATATAGAAAATCGTTAGTGGGAATTATGTTGACGACAACGTTGCGCTAATATTAGTCTATCATGAATTCTGTTTTTTTCAAGAAAAAAAATGGAGCACAGTTTATATATAGCTAAAACATAGATTCCTTTCCAGTCCTAGACGCTATTCACAAAACAGATATTATTTAATTTTTTCAGCTTTCTACATTTTGCAACGTAGCTATGATCTTGCGTTTAAATAAACATTTGAAAATGCTTTCTTTAAGTTAATTTTAATGTTTAATAGTTTTTCCTTAGACGAGTATTTTTGTCACGATGTTTTCAAATATTGTTTTTATCAATAAACTTAGGTCGTATTTATTATATAGGGAGTTCCAGAATCACCTAGATACTTTCATATACAGTGGGGGGAAACAAATATTCGTACGCATAAAAATCTTTAATTTATTGTATTTCCAAGTAAAGAATAAACATACCTTTCTAATAATTAACTGTACACAGATGCATAATAACTAAACAGACATAGAAAACAGAAAAAATACTTATTCAATATGAATACATGCCGTTTCTCCATTACAATGGGTGTAAAAAGTATTCGTACAATACAAAAAAGAATAACTATACTACATTTAATACTTTGTAGAATAGCCATTATTAACTTCTACAGCAACCAACCTCTTGTTGTTGTTCTCAGTTAAATGATATGGAAATTTTACATGGTATTTTGTCTCATTCTTCTTCGCATATAGTCTACAGATCCGAGTTGTTTGTTGGAGCTCTCAATTGGATTTAAATTTTCAAATAACGCCACAGATTCTTGATTATTTTTAAATCTAGGGAGTTACTAGGCCATTTCAGAATATTTACATTATTTTCAGCCATCCATTTCTTAGTCGATTTTGCAGTGTGCTTAGGATCATTATCTTGTTGGAAGATCCAATCAGGAGAAACTTCAAGACTTTCAAGCGAAATCATTAAATTTGCTTTCAAAATATCTTCATATGCTGCGTCTTTCATTCTACCATTTATTACTGATATGTTAGCAGTACCTATTGCAGAAAACATTCACAAACCATGATACTACAAACACCAAATTTTACTCTATACACTGTTCTTTTGTTTGAAGGTATCGCCATATTTCCTCCAGACATGATTTCTAGAATTAAGTCCAAACAACTCAATTCTGTTTTAGTCTGTCCATATTAATCTTTCCCAATACGATCTTTCCTTATCCTAATGTTCAAGAACGAATTTCAACCTGGATCTCTGTTTTTATTCAATAGTAGTGAAGTTTTCCGAGTAGAGCGTGACATTAAATTGTTCTTATGAATTTCATTGCTTATTGTTCGTTTTGTGACACTGATTCCTGATGAAACCAAATCATCCTGAAACTATGGACGAGGAAGCATTGGATTTTGTTTAATTTGACGCCTTAATTCTCGCAAAGATCTTGAAGAAATCTTCCGTGGAGCAACACTTGGTCTTTGGTTTTCAAAAGTTTTCAGCTTTTTATACCTCCCAATTAATGAACTAATGTTAAAAAATTGAATATACATGTTGACTGAGATTTTCTTGTAATTTTTCCCGCTCTTTCCAAAGCTGAACAATCTTTTTTTGCGAAATTGTTAATTCTTTACCTTTTGCCATGATGATAACTTTCTTGCATGAATATCAATTGCAAAATATTCATTTTGTAATTGTTAGGCTAAAAATAAATACTGATATCATTATTGAAATATTTTAGTTTATTCAACTTGTATAATCTAGAGTATTAATGCAATTTAAATGTTTTCAAATCTGAAATTTGCATTGTACGAATACTTCTTTCACCCATTGAAATGGATAAATCTTATTTATTTCTATCAAATAATTTTTTCTGTTTTCCATGCATATTTAGTTATTATATGAAAAGTATGTTTATTCATTAGTTAGAAAAACAAATAATTAAAAAATTCTACATGTACGAATATTTGTTTCGCCTCAGTGTATGTATTTTTTGCAGAATTTAAATCATATATAGGCAATAAAATATAAGATGGATAATTTGATTGCTAATCAAAGCTCTGCAAAAAAGAAGAAATAAATGAATGAAAAATACATGATTTTGAAACACCCTGTATAAACACACATACCTACTTTTATTGAAATCCTCCTGAACGATATTCAATGTCATTTTGTCGTTCAACATAGTCGGCAAGGTATCAACGCGTAGTAGTCAGTTTATCAATAGGTTTTCTGCTACCAATTTGTGATTTGTTTTTGTTGCTTTTAGTGAGCTTTAGGAGGTTTCTATCGAGTTTTCGCAAAGCTCGTCATATCTGCTACGAAGACCTCTAAAATTCTATAGGTAGAAAATTCTTTTTTAAGCGGGAAGCATTTTCCGAAATGAATACTATCATTTTTTACCTTTGTAAACATTATAAATATGCCATGATCTTACTTTGAGGTAATAATTTTCAAAATTCTCTTTGTTTGTGTCGGTTAGTTGGTTGATTTTGTGTATCGGCATATCAACCCCTAAACGTTATTTAATGCCGAAATCTGAATATTTTGTACATAATTTTATACATCACGGTAAACTTACATTTCTTTTAAATCTATACTTTTAGATGATAAAATGTATTGTTGCTATTTTCACTGCAAAAATATATTGTTGATAAATTTTATAAAATGTATTGTTGATAACATTTTTATAACAATATATTGCTGTTAATTTTTTGTAATGAAAATGTATTTTTATAGTTTTTTATTGTTGTATTCATTGTCATTTTTACCATAGAAGTGCATTGTTGGTAATTATAACAATTTACTATTAATTTATTTTGTTTGTTCACTATCTGTCCATAGTTGTGGCCTTAACTGGTTCTACTACCTCGGACTTGTTGCCGAATGTAGTTTATCGTCATACTCAGATCGACCCTTAATATATTCAAGTTTAATCGTTTTTATAATGAATCAATGAGTCAATAGACTCTCGACTTATGTTCAGCTATTATAGTTTTTTTTTTTAAGTTCTGTTGGAACAGCTTTGCGATCTTTATCATAGCTCCATCAAATATTCCTACTGAGACCTTTGAAATGCTTCGCCAGGATTCTGGCGAACTTTCCTTAGGTCGAAGAAACCCACGGTTTAAGGAAGTGTGTGTGTCAGTTGAAGTTGATGAGTATTCAGGGCGAGCGACAACAAAACACTAGAAAATGTGGGAAAAATTGTAAACCCATTCACGAAGACTGTCGCATGACTGGAATTAATTATGAAGCCTGCTAGGAGGTGTACTCACGGGAAACCTGAATATTCATTGAGTTTCTATACGTCATCCGGCTGGAATCGTTGTATACGTTCCCAAGGGGACTATATCGAAGATGGTGGTCAGATTTGAATAATAAATGAAATATATTATTTACTGGAGTAATGGTTTAAGTTTATAGCCCGAGTTTGCAATCATTTCGATACCATGTCAAATCGACACGACTAGAAGGATATATATACAAAGAAATTTTCTGTATAAACGCATTATCTATCTATCTATCTATCTATCTATCTATCTATCTATCTATCTATCTATCTATCTATCTATAAATATATATATATATAAGTATATATATATGTGTATATATATAAATATATATAAGTATATATATATAAGTATATATATATATAATTATATATATATATACATACACACACACACACACACATATATATATATATATATATATATATATATATATATATATATGTATATATATATATATAATATCGTTTCTCCAAAAACTGTTGACCTAGGTATCTTTGGAAGATACCCTTTTTCAGGTAAGGAGGGTTGGTAATTATAATACTCTCTTCAAGAGATATGCAGCTGGCGTAATACATAGTGGCTTGGAATAAGATATTTGGATATGTGTGCTAGATTTACAGTGTTCATTACATTCACATAAGACCAAATAATCTTCGGAAGGTACGTATTAATCTCTATACACGCTATCTACATAAATTAAAGATAAATAACTTAGCAGATATGGCTCTCTAGCCGTAGTTGGAAACCAATCTAGGAGAAGCACATTATTTTGCATGTTTAATCTGAGGGTAAGCATGGCAGTTGGATCACTGAATGTTTTGCCAATGATACATAGGCGTAAGTACGTAGCGGAAATTTTACTTCCATATACGAAGAACCTTGTGTAAATCACATCAAACTGAAAAATAAATGACATACAACATTCTGATAATATGTATTGCTTATACGGGAATTGGACAAAAAGTAGAGTCCGTTCTAATTTAATTAAAAAAGTATGATTATGTTTAACTATAAACTATAAAGTATCTAACATCCTGTAAAAAATGCGGAACTACTTTTTTTTTATTATTGATAATTCACTTTCAAAATAGCTTACTGCACACAGAGAAACCGAGCATTTGTCATTTTTTTCCGTTTGGAGAGAAGTAATTTTGAAAACATTCACGGAAAGATAGTACGTATTTATGAGATGACTACACGTGATGTAAGCTTAAAATAGGGACTGATCAATAGAGTTACTTACAAGCATAGAAAACTTAGAAAATTACTTTGGTGACAAGCACAGCTGTGGCAGTCCAGTGGCTGCTCCGAATATGATGCCGGCATTAATGCAGACAAAATACTCAATATTTCTAGCCCCTGTGGAAAACATCAGATGATCCATAATACGTTATGCAATTTAGTGCAGGCTCCATAACGTAACAGCGTATTGTTTTTGCCTATGATTTCGTGCTGTACAAAAAGTAATAACACTCAGATCACAATGGCTCTCCAATAATAATCAGATAAAAAAAGGCAACTGACACATGTCCTCACTGAAAATTGCAATATATTGAAAAGAAAGGAAATTGCTGAGGATTCAATTTGGAAAATTTAAGATTTTAAGATCTTTTTTATACATAGTTTGTTGATTCTGCAGTTAAATTCATCATAAGTAATTACTGGCTGCTCGATTCGAACAATATTTGCCTGTTAATGTAGCTTGGTAATTACTTTTGTATTACCCCTGCGTAGGCATATTTTTCTTTCTTTAGAATTTCTAATCCGGCGTGGTGAACAGTTTTAAACAACGCCAATACGCACAAACCGTCGTTCAAGATGACATGAGACTTCATATTCGCACAATGATCAACTACTTTCATACAATTACATCCCTCCATTTTTTAATCAAATGAATTAGATCAAAACCTGGTGTGGTTTTTATTCATTTTCTCATGATTCTACACGCTGGCATCGTTTCCTTATGCGAATGTTATCATGAAGTTAGCTTCTTGACAAATCAATTTTTGTATTCAACCTCAGACGAAATAAGAATCTTCATAAATGTGAGTTAAACGATAATACCCTAATTTTTTCAGTGGTTGAATGATTTGCAAGAGCTAAACATTGAGTGTCTCAAGGTGGGGCGGCTTATGGCCACATTACGTTGAAACACCATTTTCCGTAAGTTTAGATGCGCGTCTGGTGTTATGGATAGTAGCTCGGACAGCTGAGTTTCAATTGGGTTCGTCACATTTACTTAAGCGCAAATACACTTGGAAAGGTAGGAAGCCATCTTTTCCTCCAGATATGATTTAATTAGTAAGCCTTGTATGTCTAAAGCACAATTATTTTTCCCCTCCAAAGAGAAATTATTAAAATTTAAAACAATATTTGCTGGATTTAAATAATCTGAAAAGGGTTGATAAGCCGTAGAATCAGTCAAAGTGGATCAGTTTACTGCTAACTAGAAATGATCAGCCTACCTAAAATTAAATATATTTTGAACATACGTTAGATGGAAGACGACCAGAAAATAAGTTTTCTAGTGACTGTCCCCACGGTTAATTTCCTTATATCTGAAACATTCATCAGTCAGATATAAGTAAGGATATTCATGGAAGTAAGTAGTAAACAGGTAAGAAATATTCATTAGTCAGGTGTAAGTAAGGTACCTACTTGCAATCGATGATTATTGTTTTCTTTGATTTGGTTTTAGCTTCCGATTTCGCTTCATATTTGAATCTGGAATATCTTAATATTTCGAAGCAAGTGTATTTTTTTCTTTTACTGATAGAGCCATCATAATTACACCCTAATTCCCAAACATGCTTATAAATATCAAGTACAGATCTATGGAAAGCAACCTGAAAGAAACGCCCTTCCTGCATTTGGTTTCCCTTGGTATGGAGCCGAAAACTGCTATTATCGCACTAAGAGCGGATTATTTTTTTATCAGCAGACTTTAGATAAGGTTTCTTTGCTCTCTGTTTTATCGCATAAGTTCAGTTTCACTTTTTGCGACTTGCTTCAATACAGGAATATCACTTCAAACAGTTTGTTGTAATAAATGTTGGTTTCATACTTTGCGTAACTTTCTGCTTTTTAGATATTAGAGTGGACCCAGCTAGTTAGATGCCATTATTTTGTTAGACTATAATTCATTGACTGTTTCGAGACTGGAGAGATGTTTATAAAAGGATATCACACGACAGTCGAGGTTCAAGTGTTTTATATAATTTGCAGGTTGATTGACTTACATGAGATACGTTACTGACTAATACCTAATAATATATGAAATATTATTTTAAATATTAATTTTTTTAATTTTTTTGCAAAAAAAAAAAACAAACTACAAACAGCTTAGTTCCCATTTGTCGCAACTCTGAGTGGACAATATTGGAGACGGCAAAGTCAAGCAAGTGCAGAAATGTACTTATAGGATAAATGCATTCATTCACGACGGAAAATGTGACAATGAAATCCGAAGGTGCATTGCAACAGAGAAATAAATCTAAACTAGAAACAAAAAGTTAAGAAATAGAAAAAGGAACAAAGGAGTGATGAAGTGCTATGCAATATCAGTCTGCCTATTTGTTGGTCGATGCTGGGATATTTCCTTGCAAATAACGATGAAGACTTGAAACAAAAATTATTTGGTTTTATAAGTGGATGGTGAGAATGACATGAACTGAGCATGTAAGCAACGAGGAAGTTTTAAGGAAAATGCTGAAAAAAACGAAACTTCCCAATTAGAATCTGAAAGAGACAGTTGAAGATACATAGACTTGGAGAACTTGACACTCAAAATACATATTGAAATGAGAGGATGAAAGTGATGTATCGAGTTACCTAACGAGCTTGTAAAGTTGTATGGAGAAACAGGGAGTAGGATTGATAGTAAAAAAAAAATATTGTTAAGAAATGCAAAAGATCGGGAATCATGGACAGTAATTTTGCTCGTCTACGTTCTAAATTGGAACGGCACATAAAGGAAGTATCACTTTCAATGTCAAGCAAGGAGTCAAAGTAGTTGCAAAAAGCTTCTTCCCGGTTTTAAATTATTAGTCGTGCAATTTTATTCCACTTCTTTCTTTGATCACTATTTGTTATAAATCTCTTCCAGGATTTATTCCATTCCACAGCAAAACTAGACTTGGCATTATTGTTCTAATACAAAAAAGAAAATAATATTAAAACGGAAAGTCAATATATCAACACGAACAGAACATTTAAGCAGCTAGGAAGTTTTAAGGAAGATGAACACAAAAGGGACAATTATAGATAAACGCAGGTAGAGGCCGTTGAAATTTATGCCGTATATAATGAGGAAAGGCGGTTTATAGACTTTATCACTCGGTGAGCATGATGAAGCCATGGGAGACAGCGGAACCCAGAAAATAAACTATCTAACATGTTTGTATAAATTCATGGCACTTTTACTGAGTGGGAAAGAGAATATGATATTGCTAAGAGCTACAAAGCTTTATGAGTTACGAGAAAAAATAAAAAATGTTTTTATCACAGAACAGAAAATGTGATATAAAAATCTGAAGGCGAATTGGAAAAGGAAAAAATACATTCCGAAAGCTAATCAGAATATTACGAAATAGGAAAGTTACCTTAGAAACACAGAAGAGTGGTGAAATAATATGTAATCTCAATCCTCTTAAAATGGCAGTGAAAACTGGAAATTATTTTGTTTAAACTTTAATATCCTTCAATGAACCAATGTGTGAATAGACTCGCACACACAAACACACACACACATTTCCTCACTTTCTCCCTCTGTGATTCTCCCTTTTCAAATCGATACTCCTGCAATTTTATTGTATTTATTCCTTTCCTCACTATTTGCGATATGAATTGACAGAAACTGGTAAAAAAATTAGCGTGATTAAACGGATATAATTAGATTTAGATTTAAATAAATACGCTTAAGGATCTATAAAATGTTAATTAGATGTATTGTGTTCCACAGCTAAATTTGAGAGATATGTCGTTAACAGTAAGTAAACAAAATTGCTCATTTATTTGCCGTACTCCGAGATTCACCCACTCGTCAGGTAGATTGATATTGCATTTGTTGCTATTGGGACCGTCTAACGAGTCGAGGAAGAAAGTAAAAATTAACCATCGTAAATTTTATACTCATGAATATAAATGAAGTACAGTGTTAGTAGCGTGTTTATATTAACTTAATATATATATATATATATATACAAATAAATATATATATATATATATATATATATATATATATATATATATATATATATATATATATATATATATATATATA